TAGATTTAGATTGTATCATAACCGTCTACTAAATAATCAATGCTTGAGATTAAAAGTAGTGGTCTCTCCACTACTTTTTTGTAGTGGAGAGGATCCAAATCCCTAATTAAAAGCCTTAAATCCTAAAAATTAATGTCCTAAACAGTCGGGGTTGCCAACCCCGACTGTTTAGGAAGGTGATTAAGTAGCTAATTACAAAATCGGATCGGTTTTGATAAATAAAAAAAAAGGGTCGGTTTAAAAAAAAAAAAAGAATGGGTCTGTTTTGAAAAATTCTTCTCCAGGGAAAAAAAAAATCAAGTTAATCATGCCTATTATTTTTCGTGTTATCCTTCTTTATCCCCTTTCTCAGGAGTAATCATGATAAAGTGTTGTGGCATTATAGCCAAGTCTAAAGCGGTCTCACATTATAAAATCAAATCAAAAGTGGGGTGGATGTAAAATATCCCATTGGGTTAGGTTATTAATGGGTGTGGCCACATTTTATGGGTCCTTGGGCCCTACCCGCTGCTGCCTTTTTTCTGTTTCATTTTGCATCTTGTAAGCAGTAAAGCAACGAGCGAGGGGGACCGGTCCCAGATTTTGTTGCTACCAAGGAATTAATTTTTACAGAGAGTTGCAGTACGGAACGCATGCACCTTGCTTTGACTCCTCTCCTTTGCTTTCGCTCGTTTTCTCTGTGTTCGTGCTCCCACAGTACAAATTTAAATTTAACAATAGTAAAGAATATGAGCGCTGGTGCTGGGTGCGTTGGCCTCGCAAATTAAGGAGGGAGAGTGAGAACACAACCCCCGTGATCTTTGCAAAGCTCGTTAGTTTATTAGCGCATCTCTTATTCGCCGACTGCTAAAATTCCACCCTCCCTTGCTAAATTTGGCAAAGAAGCAGATGGCTCTGAAAACAATTAATAATTACACACCAGGCCAACAATCTTTTATGGCAAGCGAGGAAAATTTAGCCACAAAATGCTTTGCCCTGTTAGTAGTAGCGCACGAAGCAAAAAAATCGCTTTCAGCTAATAACTGCTGCAGGGGCCGCATCTAATAAAGTTGTGGTCCCTAATTTAAGATTTATACGTGCAGATATCCGATGCTATGGCCTAGTGTTATTGATTCGTTTGCAAAACTTCAGTGAGGCCGACCCGAGAAATAAAGAAATAAAAAGTTTGTTTTTTTTTTCCTTCATGCATACTGTTAACACGTTTATCGCCATCGACATTGATTGACGGTGGTATAACTTGTTAATCATGAAGACAAGGCTTGTTAACTGAAGCCACCGAGTCAAGACCGAGTTTGGTTCTATGATTTACTGTTGGGACAAGCTTAAATCAGCTGGTTTTTCCAAATTATTTTCTTTCGAAGTATTTGGTTGATATATTTCTTCTCCCGTCTTAAAGGAATTTGTATACTTTCATAATCTAATGTCAAGTTTTCACTTAATTATGGACCGTTTGGTTTATGGGAAGGGCATTGGGCTTTGGGCAGAAAGCCTGCCAAAGTGCCAGTTTTGGCAGGCTTTCTGCCCAAAGCCCAATGTCCTTCCCAAGAACCAAACGGCCCCTTAGTACCATGAAGTAAACTCTAGAGTCTAGGGTCTCCTTTTTTTTTTTAGTTCAGACTCAGATAAATAACACAAATATTATAATGCTTAATAATTAATAATTAAAGGTTAAGAATAGAAAATACCGTGACACCGATCGACGACTGGCCTTTTGAGCCAAAGACTCAGGCACCAACCACTGGGGCATCTCTAATTATTCTGGCCAACTTTCTTTTCATCATGGTAGCTGTTAGCATTCAGGAATTTGCATGATCTCTTACATGTCACTATCTACGTTTTTGAATTGATGGATGATCCAATCCGATGGATCACTCCCAAGAAGTCCAAAAAGTTATAGAACTAATTACTTGTCAGTTGACTTTGAAAATAGACATGCTATAATTTCCCAAGCATAAGATTTGATCATTTGCCGTATCTCAATAAGATTTTGAGCTAAACGCTTTATTTTACCCGGAGGTCTCTTCTCACTGGTAGAACATAAAATCATAACTCTTAATTCTCATCATAACTTTGAAGTTTTGGTATAGTGGTAGAATCCTTTGACATGGTATCAGAGCAATCTAGATATGATTCACAGTGGCCATGAATTTAATGCAATTTTTTTTTAAATAAAAAAAATTGACACCGTATGTACGTCTAGGTTTAAGTCCATAAAAAGTCACTCAACCTGCTAAGATACGTAAGAATATAAAACTATAACTCTCAATTATTAACACAACTTTAAGAGTTATGGTGGGATAGCGGGCTCCTTCGACACATCAATATGGATTACCTCTTACAGGTCTGCTTCTAACGCAAATGTATGTATTTTAGGTTGCAACTTCAGTTGGACTCCCTCAGCCGCAAACTACAGCACCTACCGGTGAGAATAGAGGCTGGATACAAGCCCAAATAATAGAACAGGTTACCAAACCAGAGCTAAAACAGCCATTTGTGGGGGACAAAAGTAGTACACTCCCTCGAGTTACTCCAATTCATCTTTGAAAAACTTTTCTCTTCTCCTTCGGCTTTCTTAGGTAAGGCTAACAAGTTCTTGGTCTAATAATAGAATACTACCAATAATGGAGATTGAAAAATCAATACAATAATACAATAGAAAATCAAAGATTTTGGCTTAACTGAAAGGTATCTTAACTAGCTTTTAAGCCTTAAATGCCCTGGTTTTAGGGGAAGTGCATAGTGGGATAGATCGCATTATAAGCCTTATGAACATTTGAAATTACCTCCCTGTGACTCAGAGCTTACACACAGCAAATTGGTCCAATTACTGAAACAAAAACTAATATTTTCTTCAACTAATATTATTAACTGAATAGGAAAAGTGTTCCCAATGTGACCCTTTAGGTTCGATCCAAGGAAAAGTCTTCAAATCTACATTATATGCAATTAATTTACTTGATTCACTCCATTCATTATTATCTAAATATCTTAAAATAATTATAAAAATAAAAATCATGATGTTTCAATACATCTTACACATAATTTTAATTGTCATTTTAGTTATATTATCGTAAAACCGTTAATTTTACACTCATTTTAGGTTTAATCCAAGGAAACGTCTTCAAATCTACATTATATGTAATTAATTTACTTGATCCACTCCATTCAGTATTATCTAAATATCTTGAAACGACTATAAAAACAAAAATCATGATGCATGAGTAACATTGACTCCACATGCCTTATTTTTTTTATATACATACAATCCAAAACATATATATCCAAAACATATATATCGAAATGAACAGAGTGGATCAAATAAATTTGATTGCGCATAACCTAGTTTTGAAAGTGCTTCCTTATCCTGAACCTAAGATGCATGTCACCCATTCAATTCTGACTTCCTATAAATGATGACTTAATTATACTACTTAATAAGGGTCTTTGGAGCTCATAGCCCACATATATTCAAGAGTTTTCCTCAAGGGTCATATCTTATGCTACTCCAGACAAAAGGAGGATCAACTTTCACTTTGCCGCAAGTAGAAGCTTCTTAAGGATCTGAACGATGCTTCTTTAAACTTTAAACCAGGACTTGCAAATTCCAATTCTTATTCTCTTCATATACATCTATCTTTTAGCCACCTGGGAGTGTTTATCCTGCACATGGTAGCCTTCCCTTGCAAGGCATTTACAACCGAGAGACCCCTCACTACAAGATCGCAAAAGAGAGGACCGT